GCCAAGGTTTTTATCCTTTACGGTTTTATTTCTTTATAACGGTTTTTATTCTTTATAATACGGTTTTTTATTTTTATTTTTATTTTTATTCTTTATAATAAAAATTAAATTTATATACAAATTTGTGATAAAAATAAATTGATATGCTTTGTAATAAAAATTAAATTTATATACAAATTTATAATGAAAATTAATTGTATATAAAGAATAATAAAAATTAAATGTATGTAAAGAATAATAAAAATTAGATTTATAAATTGGAATAGATTTTAAATAGAAATTTAATGTACAATTGATATTAAATACGAAATAAAATTGTGACTCCTTAACTCATGAACAGTTTTTAACAGTTTTTTCCTTGTTCCTAATGTAACAGCCGTTTATTTACAGTGTGTAAAAAAGGTATTGGCACACACTTCTAAAATGCAATAACTTTTCTGAAACTGAACTGAATGACTTGAATTTTTTCTGAGATGAGATTGTAGAAAGACCAGTCAACTAGACAATAACTAAAACATTTTTTTCTTACTGACTTTATAATAAATCGGTGCCTCTAACGTGTCGAAAAAATTCGTTTCAGTCGTTTAGTCTAGAAGAAAGTTAATTAGCCCAGTGATAAAACTGTTATAGCGACCCAAGAGGTCTGCCGATACCTTTTTCATCCGGTGCTATTGAATCGCGGAAAATCGAGTAAAAATACCCCGTAGCTGCAGTCCGAGGGTTAATTGTTTGTATCTGGTAACAGCGTTAGTCGATTCCGATGAAATTTTCAGCTTGTTTCAGTACGAAATTGGCTCCGAGAAGTTTCGGAAGTCGAGCCGAATGCGCCGCGCCGGTAGAACCGGGAAAGGTTCGAAGTTGCCCGGAGACGTTGAAGTGACTCGCGGGAATATGAACGATCAAACGTGGACGTGTTAAGTGCTCGTAAAGCCTGGATTCTTTACTTATTGGAACAGATCGTTCCGGTGGCCCCGGCAAAATGAAATTTAACGGTCACTCGACTCACCGTCCTTGAAATCTGCAACGCAGTGTCCCCCTGGTCTACTTCAGTCACTCGGGACTTGGAAGAACTCGTCGGTTTCCTTTTACTTCTCTCCGGAACAGTCGATCCTTTGCGCGGCCTGTCGCCTTTGAAAAAACGGGGCTGGAAAGAACGAGCTTTGAATCGGTCCGCCTGAGTTTACAAATATTTGCGACCTCCAGAACGTTCATTTTACATTCGCCCACGCTGCGAAATCACTTCCGAGTCCTCGAGCAGGCTAAAACGCTCGTTAATGTCATACACCGGCAACGTAAACAGAATTATCGACGGCAAAAATTGAGTGCCGCGTATCTCGCAGTTCAATTTAATCACGGGAAAGTCGTTCGCTGCGATAACGATTTTTGTTCGACGCGGGGAAAACGGAGAACGCTGAAGTTCGATAGTTTCCATCGGACCTGGGCGAATTTCCTTTGAAATATGTATGATAAATAACTACGCTCGAGAGTAAAATTAAAACGTCACTAATTTCTGGTCGAAGAATTTTCGATTTTCTTCAATAATTTTTTCGTAAATTTTCGTCTTTTTCTTAGATCAATGCTTAAAATGCCTACTTTACGGCACCATAGTCTAATGTTTAACACTTTGCACTCCACTGTCCCCTCTCGTGGGACATCGTAATTCTAGCATATCACTCGGATGTCCCCTCTCGTGGGACATTCAAGTTTATTAGTGATTACGGGGAATTCAGTTATTTCAGCGCAACTTTTTCAGACACGCATGTTGCCCTGGAGTTTTCTCTTGAAATGGCACAAGAAATCAAATCAAAATATAGTAAAATTACTAAGTATATACAAGAAATGTCAGCGGGTTTTGACGAGAACGTGAGAGGCGTGCTCACGACGATCCGAGCACTTCAAAGACGCCACTTGATAAGAGCGATAAGGCAAGTTTGTAGAAGAAAGATCGGTATGCGAACATAGCACGCACTGTATAGTGAGATTTATAATCGTAAAATCTGGAGGAAAAGATTTTCAAAGCTGAACTCGGTCTGGTTCGAAGCGTCGAGCGTTATAGATAGATCTAACGAGTGAGAAAATCGGAAAAGTGATTCTTCTCTTGGCAAATAAATTGTTTGGTAAAAGTTTTTTTTGGTAAATATCATCTTG